TTAGCTTTTTCAACAATGGGGGTCAAAGCAATTGGATATCTACTAGGAAAAGAGAAACTTTTACATAAACTTCACATTTCATACAAAAAATAATTCTAAAAGTACCACTGATGTAAATGTAAAACTTAAAAATAGCAGAAAATCTTCATGATCAAGGCTTAGGCAAAGAGTTCTTAGCCTTGACATTAAAATCATGGACCATTAAAATACTGATAAATTGAAATCAAAATTTAAAAAGAAAAAAATATTGCTGTACAAAATATTATGTTGAAAGGATGCAAAGTCAATTCATAGACTGGGAAAAAAATATTTTCAAGCCACATGTCCATCAAAAACTTGTATCCAGAATACAAAGAAATTGTAAAAACTTAATAAAACAAACAATATAATTTTAAAATGAGCAAAACATATTTACAAATATTTCATCAGAGAAGATATTCAGATGACAGAAAAAACACATGAAAATTTATGTTCAACATTATCAGTCATCAGGGAAATGCAAATTAAAACTACAATGAGATTCCACTATCTGTCAGAATGGCTAAAATTTAAACATAGTGACAGCAACAAACGCTGGAAAGAATGTGGGCAAAGTGTATCACTCACACTGCTCATTGGAGTGTAAAACGGTACAGCCACTATGGGAAGCAATTTGGGATTCTCTAATAAACTAAATATGCAATTACCATATGACCTAGCAATTGCACTAATGGGCATTTTTTCCAGAGAAATGAAAACTTATGTTCACATAAAACTTGTGCGAGAATATTAAAGCAGTGTAGTACTTATAATAACTAAAAACTGCTATCAGTCTCTATTCTTCAAAAGATCAATGCTTTAAAAAAAACTGTCGAATTAAAAAATGTTCCCTTTCCCTAGAAATGCCATAACAAATAATATAGCACATTAAATATTTTCATGAAAATTGCAAAAATAAATAAATAAATAAATAAATAAATAAATGGATAAATAAAAACTGCAGTATATACATACCATACTATGGAATAGTACTCAGTAATACAAAGGAACAAAAGTATAGTCAACAACATGGCTGAATCTCTGAGGAGTTTGCTGAATGAAAAAAAAGAAAGCCAATCCCTAAAGATTATATGCTGCATGATTTAATTTATACAAACTATTTGAAGAAACAAATTTTCAAAGTGGATGACAGATTACAGTTTCCACAGTTTCAGGGATGGCAAATGTGAGGCAAAAGTGAGGTAGGTGGAGCTGTAATAAAGCAACAGGAAAGATCCTTGTGGTATTAGAACCCTTTCAGTGTCTTGCCTGGTGGTGAATATCTGAACCTAGGTAGATGATAAAATTGTTTAGCACTTAATAACACAGACACACAGAGACAAGCAGACATGCACAGGAGTTCAAGCACGCTATGGGAATCTTTTTTTTTTCTTTCTTTCTTTTTGTGGTGCTGGGGATTGAACCCAGGGCCTTATGCATGCGAAGCAAGTCTTCTACCAACTGAGCTATATCCCTAGCCCAGCTATGGCAATCTTAATAAGATAGATCATATTCTTGTCTATTTCTGCATTGTGATATTATCCTATACTTTTGCAAAATGGTACAATTGGGGCAAACTGGAAAAAATGCATAAGGGCTCTGTTTTATTTCATATAATTGGATGTGAATTTTTAATCATCTGAATCAAAAATACATACAACAGCAACTCTCTGTGACATACATACATACACACACACACACACACACACACACACACACACACACACACCTTCCTTCAGTCTTGTCCCACACATAAAGAGGGTAATGGGTAATGCTGTACTTACGCTGCAACTTTGGTGAGAAATGGACTCTGATGAGAGACGGTATACATTGTGTGAACAAGACAAAATCTTTTCAAGACCAAAGGCATACTCAACCCTTCTCTCCATACACAGAATAAGCAAGCAAATCTGAGTGCCACTGTCATGGTTATGCCAAAATAAAAAGTGCACTAAAAATGACCCTTCTTAAAAATTTAAAAGTAACTTAATGCATGCAATAATTAATACCTTTCCTACTATGTGTAAACTATTTGATTCCTAGGTAGAATGGAATTGTGTGTTAAATCAGAACTTCTCAATAACATGGAGAACCAAAATAATTTCAGATCTAAATTTAGTTTATATTAATGAAAAAATATAAGAGAAATTATTAAGAACTATACACCTAAAACTATATAATAGAAAATATTCCAATATTAAATCTTAAAGTGGTAGATAAACATAGACAAAAGAATAATACCCATAGAACCACATTTTGCTGGGGTAAAGGAAGATCCTGTGTGTGTGTGTGTGTGTGTGTGTGTGTGTGTGTGTGTGTGTATAAATAAAACCGTTTTAAATTTAAACAATAACTTTAATGGGCAATTTAACAAGGGACCAGGAATTCAACCCAGGGGCAGTTAACCACTGAGTCACATCTCTAGCCTCTTTATATTTTATTTTGAGACAGGGTCTCACTAAGTTGCTTAGGGCCAAAATATACTTTTTAAAGTACAAAAAGAGAAAAGGAATCATTATTTATCTTTGTCAAATAAATAATGTGTATCAAAATTAATCTCAAATCAATTACTTATATCCATTATATTCATTCACTTTTTTTATTATTTTTAGTTGTAGATGGACACAATATCTTTATTTATTTATTTGTTCATTCATTCATTTATTTTTATTTGGTGCTGAGGATTAAACCCAGGGCCTCACACGTGCCAAGTAAGTTCTCTACCACTAGCCACAACCCCAGCTCTCATCCACATTTTTCAAACAATCTCAAAAGAGCAACATTTTTACCTTTAAGCCAAAAATCTGCCCTATTTAAAATTCAGTGAAGTGAATATGACAATACTGTGAAATTAATATGAATATAAACTTGCAAAAATCTAATAACATTAAATTATTTGATACTTATATTTAAATAAAAATACTAGAGAATGCTGTAAACACTACAATTTTCTAGAAATTTTTTTCAAGTTCAGCTATATGAAAACAATAGATACAAGTCAGAGAAAATACAGACTATGAATATTACATACCCTATTAGAGGAACTTCTATTACTTTATTTCCTATTGAAATATGTAGTTGGTCGAATGTATTTTCATCTTTATCAGGATGATATTCCACCATAGCTGTCATATGAAGACCAGAAGCAAGTGCCTTATCCAGATTGGTCAATATCAGTTTGAACTTCAGTGGGGAAAAAAAAGATTCAAATTATACATCATTGTGTGTGTGCATATGTATGTTGCTGGAGATCCAACGCAGAGCCTTGCACCTGCTCAACAAGCACTCTATCAGTGAATCACATTTACCACTGAGCTGTATTTCCAGCCCCCAGATTATACACCTTAACTCCTTAAAAGAACATAATGTGAGCAAATGTAGATAGGAGTGTACATTATTATCAAATTCTAGTCCTTATTCCTGCCCTAAAAGCAAAAATCTTTCAATTTTATTTTAATTGACAAATAATAATTTTATATATGTATGTGATAGAATGTGATGTTCTGATACATGTATATATTGTGGAATGAGCATATACGGCTAATTAACATGCATTGCCTCACAGACTCATTTTTTTCATGAGAACATTCATAATCCTCTCTTAGCAATTTAAAAATATACATTATTAACGATAGTCATCTAGTTGTTTTAGTAGATCACCAGAACTTATTCTTGCATGCATATGTACATACACACATTGTGTACACACATGTGTATGTATCTTAAATACAGGAAGTACGCAATATTTCGTATACTTGCTGCATGGGGACCTGGGCTTCATAACTTGGAGGAAACATAAAGAAAGAATAGACCAAAGAGGAAAAAACATTTGCTAGCTTCAGGAAAATATTAAGGAAGAAAGAGGAGAACTGATAACTGTTGATCACTTATGATGTGTCAAGCAATTATACATCTATTATCTCAATACACTTTTAAAGTCCTATGAGGTTGATATTAAGGCTCTCAGCAGACAGATTGACTCTGACTGTAGAGTGAAACCAATATCTAAAGTCACTCAGAAGTGAGGATGCCATAACAACTAATCTACCTGACTGTAAAACTTAATATCTTCCTCCTTCACCCTCAATCAGTAACAATAGAGATCATATTGGAATTAATTATTCAAAGCCAAATGCTTTGCATCCTACTCTTAGCAGCTTATGAGCTGACCAATTAGGCAAAACTAACATTTACCAAGAGTCACTGAGACTCAAATCCAAAATATAAGGAACGTTAGTAAATGCAATAGGTATCCTGGAGGGTAGAAATAATATGGGGAGATATGACAATTAATGAGACCTCACATTGACCTTAAAAGGTGGATGAGTTTTGGGAAAGTGGGGAGCAGGAGGATCTTGTAGATGAGGGAAGTAAAAATGTGAGTCGAAAGAAAAGGAAGTCTGAGCCATAGGCAAGAGGGAGAAATTACGAATAAGACTGGCTTAACCAAACCAGAGGCCACACAAATTAGCAAAGCAGTATTAAATGGATAGTGGGAAGCTAAAAAATAGTATTGAAATCAAGCACAGAACTATCAACTGTATGTCCCTGGAAAATAATAACTGTGTATTCTTTTTGTACCAGCTACCTACAAATAGATGATGTGCAACATTGTATATGGTGCATAGTGCATACTTAATATATAGATATTCAGATATCTAACAAATCTGTGTTATTAGATATCAGAATAGTGGTTAATCACCTCCATGGGGTGATTACTCCAGGTACTGTAGGGAAGGGGCACTAGCAGCCTTCTAATGTGCTAGATATATATTTAATGATTTGATACAGGTGGTGGCTTCATAAGTATATACATATACACAGTAATCCAACAAGCTTTACTTTGAGATTTGTGCATATCCATGTAGATAAACACTGTATTTTTTTGAAGAATAGAAAACAGAACATGAAAATTCTTTTTTTTTATTGCTCTCCTAGTCACTAACAGGTTTGCCTATGTATATACAAACAAATATATGTAACTTTAACTTTAAAATTATGGTCATCTTTTATGCATTCAGATGCAATCACTAGGAATACCTTCTGAAAAATCTCAGTTATTTATTGCTTATTTATCAAAACTTATACATTTCCTATATCAAAAGTCTTGTGAACTAATAGACACCCATTCACATATACGATCTAAAATAACAGAAAGAGAGATGAAATTCTGTCCACTTTGAAGTCAGAAGACAGAGACAATCTCTCAGAACACTAATATTCATGATGGACAGACTTGTACTAAAATGTTCCCATTAGGTTCTAGTTCCTACAAGAGCAGCAATTTGTCCAATTAGTATTCCTCACATCTCTTGACTGTTACATAATATGTGCTCGACAAACATTTGTTAATATGTGAAATTAAAAAAAAAAAAAGCTTTCCAGTAATTCCATAGTTCTGGAGAAATCAAATACTTTATGACTCAAAGGGTTAATAGAGAATTTTATTCTCATGGTGCTTAAGGCAACTATAGAATCATGAAGCCAAGGTGCACAGATTCAGGGTTCGTACAAGTAGTCAAAGAACCCCTTCCTTTCTTTCCAAACTCGGAATGAAGAAACAGATTCTAGGTCAGCTTCAAGCAAAGAGGGTGGGGAGTGGGGGTACAGCAGCACATATAGAAACACCTGCTAAACTACTGGACCTGGGGAAGTTCAATCCTACCCCCACCTCCTCAGGAGCCCACTGCTGGGCCAAAGGGAAGTGTTAGGTGAGAAGACATTCTCAGAGTCCCCGCCCTCCAGAGGTCCTGGTTCCAGCACCCCTCAGTGTGTCACCTGTGGTTTAATTGGCTCTTGAAACCTTATCTTCTGGTTCCAACGGCCGAGATTGTGTACAGTAACCGGGAGGCGGTAAACTTTCCCAGCCACCGTGTTCAGGAACTTCAGCTCCGACGGGATCACCCGCAGCTGAACGTCCTTCTTCTGGCTGTCTGTGTCCCAGGGGATAGGGGAGGCCCTCTCAATGTCCATGGCTGACTTCTCCATAGTGGACAAATAGTTGTGGACTTGGCCGACCCAGGACAAACTTGGTCTAGTTGCTAGGCGACCATCGCTAGGCAACCGTTGGACTCGGAGCTAGCGCTTGGGCTCGCGCAGGCGCATTATCCCTTCCTCCATTGTCTACGTGCAGGTCTCGCGAGTTGGCTACTGAAACAGAAGCCTCGGGTGCCTGGCAAAAGAACCCGGGGTGGCAGGTGTCACCAGAGCAACGGAAAAACATGTTACGACAGCCTCAAACACAGAAACTGCTCACTTATTTGTCGTGGTTTGGCAGAATTTTATGATGGCATTTGCTGTAGTGGGCCATTTTCCTGGACCTCTCTTCAGACCAAGCTTTTAAGATCAATAAAATAATTTGCACATGGGGTCAATTAAGGCAAGAAGATGTTACAGAAACGGAGGATTTCAGTGGAAACAGAGTCAGGGTCCCTATGTGTCCTGCTCAATGGCCTTTAGACCAGCATTTCTCAATTATTGTGTTGCTTATAATACCAGAATCTTAGATTGATATGAAAACCAATCAATAGGGTCGGGTAAAATAATTTACAGTCTACCCCTGATTGATAATAATGTAGATTTATTTGTATTGACATAGAAAGATATATATATTACACAGTATTAAATTTTGAAAAGTGACCAAATGGTATGTATGAGACATATTTCTTTTTACACATATATGCACACACTAAAACCAATCCTTTGGATCTTTGTTAAGATGCCAATTTAAAAAAAAATGCCAATTTCATTTCAGTATATATGGAGCAGAGTCTAAGAATCTATACATATAACAAATTCCCAGGTGATAACAATGCTGCTGGTCCAGGAACAATATACTGAGGACAGAGGTATTAGGAACTTTGTTAACTTCACCAGGTATAAGCTTCTTCATTTGTGAAATGAAAGTTACTCAAGATATAGTGATCCGACATCTTAATTGCTAGATGAAGACCTTTTCAACAGGCTTGAATTTACACTGTGCAATGCCTACTCTCTCCTCATCCTTCCTCTACTATGATCTGAGTTTCAAAACATATCAGGTGTTTTCATTTCCTCCTTGATAACACACATGATGTTCACTCTGAGATGAATGACCTCTCCAACTTCCAACCAGTTAATCTTTTAAGACTTAAGTACTTTTAAAAAATCTTTCCCATAACAGTTTTACAAGATTTTCATGGTACCAAGATGATAAGTAAATTATTTCTTTCTACAAGGAGGAAGAGATTTGTAAGTAATATAAAAGAAAGTTGACAAGTTTCTTGAAATGGTTGTTGTAAATAGTTGAAAATAGTGTTTGTAGTACTAATGGTGATTATTATGTGCAAAATTCTTAGGAAGCCACAGATTAAAAACATCTGCATCCTCTTTCAATAGTTTGTCTTAGCTTAACAAATAGGAGATGTGAATCACCCCTGGACTTTTTATGCCAATCCCTATATCATGTCATAGTACACATCTCGTCTATATCCCTGAGCCCTAAAGCAGGACAATTTTATAACATTGAAAGGAACACAGTGGGTCACAGAATTTGACTGAATCAAGACCACAGTCCATGCATAGCCTCCTAAACAGTCTCTGGGGGAAAAAAAGATGGAAATTTTAGAATTCCATTTTGTCTATTCTCAGGGAGAAGAATAGCCCAAGTCTGGACTTCTGTGTAGAACCTAAAGATACAATGATACATATCGATTAGAGAAAAATGTTGTTTCTGTTCTGTTGGTATTCCCATCAACTAAGGAAGAGTGTCGCAGTCTTCTGTGCTTAGGTAAATTTAAATTTTTTTAATCTACTCTTTTATCAACTGAAAATGTCACTTTCACATGAAGTATTCTAACATCAATCTACATCACATATTTACCTCTAAATTCTCTAATTTCTATATTGAATAATGTTCACCTAAGGGTTTTTTTTTAACCTTTTCAACTCTGTATGATAATGCAATTACTTGGACAAATAACATATGAAATTTTATATAACAGTAATTCAAAGCAGAAATAGGAAGCAGGGCAAGATGGTAGCTGAGTAAGATCCTTCAGCAACCATCTCCCTATATCCACAGAAATTGGGACAGTTATTCAAACACCACATTACTTTTACAACAACTAGAAAGTCAGGTGAGAGATCATAGAATCTGGTTTTAGTATCATAATAAGCGAAAATTCACTGAAAAGGGCAAGAAGGAAATAGTTGCCAATGTCACTCTTCCTGCAATTCCAAGCAGCACAGAGAGATACCTCCCACTTGGGAAAGAGAAATATTTAAATTTAGGCCTTATACTTGAAACCCAATACCAGGCCCACCATGGTGTACACTCAGGGCTAGGCTGAGTCCTACAACTGCTGCCTCCACTACAGTAACTAGAGACTGAGCCAATGAAATTACATTAGAAAGGCAGGGTATTATGGTTTAGATATGAGGTGTCCCCCAAAAGCTCATGTGTTAGACAATGCAAGAATTTTCAGAGGTGAAAAAATTAGATTATGAGGGTTGAACCTAATCAGTGGATTAATCTACTGAAATGAATTAATTGGGTGGTAAATATAGATAGGAAGGGTATGACTAGAGGAGATAGATCACTGGAGGCATGCCTTTGGGGTTGATAGTTTGTCCCTGGTGAACAGAGCTATTTCTTTGCATCCTGGCTTTTATGTCCTGAGCTGCTTCCCTCCTCCATGCCCTTCTGCCTCACCTAAGGCCCAGAGCTATGAAAATCAGACAATCATAAACTGAACTTCTGAAACCATGAGCCCCAAATTGTTATTATAAAGTCTTTTGGTCACAGCAACAAAAATGCTGACTAAAATGGAGGGCTAAGTGACTGGTTCTGCAACCCTTGACCAAAACTTGGGCAGCAGAGAGGGGAGCAGGACTCTACTTGCTGGAAAGTAGAGCAGGAAAGCTAGTGCCAGATTTTGCCTTGGAGCTAAATACTAGGCCCACTGCAGTAGAACCCAGCATTACACAGAAACCAAGGAGCCTTTATACCCTGGCCGGAGCTCACAAATGGAGCCTTCTGTGCTGCCCCAACATTAGGCAGAGATATATGTGCCATACATATGGAGGCCATACGAGAGATGACTCCATGAAGATTGAAGCGATAGAATGGTTTTTGAGTTTGAATGTGTCAAGAAGTAATTTAGACTATTAGGGCTTCTTGGAATAAGAAAGGGGGATATGGAAATAAATTACCGTTAAAGCACACAGAATCAAACTAAAAACAACAAAAATGTTAATTACTTAGAAAGTGGAAGGTTATGCATAACAATAACAATAACCTCTTACTTGGATTAAAAGTGAATATCACTTATTGAGATATATATAAACATAAAATCAGAATGTTCATCCAAAAAAAATTAAGTTATAACTATATTGGGTAGTTACCGAGATGGGAAGTATATGTAATGGTGAGCTAGTTGATAAGAGAACACTATATTATCATCTTCTAAAGTAAAAACTAATGACAACATCAAATCTAATGAGAATGTGGGCAACTAGATAAGTCATAAATTTCTGATGAGAATGTAGTATTTTACAACCTCTCTGGAAAACAGTTTTATATTTTCTTATTAAACCAAACATGTAATTTCATACATCCCACTAATTGCAGTTATGGACATTCATCCTAGAGAAACCCAAACTTATTTGCACACAAAATGTAAATATCATGAATATCAGCTTTATTCATTATAGCCCAAACCTGGAAACAGTCCAATGTTCTTCAAGGGATGAATAAACAACCTACAATGCATTCATATATAAAATACTACTCAACAATGAGAAGGAATGAATGATGGATACACATGCAAAATCATGGGTGATTCTCCAGAGAATTATGGTCAGTGAAAATATATATTTCCAAAAGGTTACAAGCACATGATTCCTTTATGTTATGTGTTTCAAATGACATTTTTAAAATGGAGGACATATCAGTGGTTAGGTATGGAGTGAAACAGAAGAGAGCCAGGTATGGTTTATAAAAGGGAAAGATAAAGGATTCTTATATTGAAGCAGTGACCGTGACTGTGACCATGGATACATGAACCTACATAGGTGATAAAATTGTATAGAACTAAACACACACACATAGACAAATACAAACACACACAAATGAGGACTGGTATAACTGAGGATCTAATACAGATGTCTTATATAAGTCTTAAAATCTTGGTTATGATAGTAAATTATAGTTTTGCAAACTGTTATCATTAAGGGAAATGTGGAAAATTTTTAATGGTACTAGGTATGTAAACTTGGAAAATTTTACAGAAGAGATCTCTATTATTTCTTACAAATGCATATGAATCTATAATTATCTTAACAAAAATTAAATTTAAAATAGAAATTAAATAAAAGGAAATTCAAGTAAATAAAGTTTAAAATGCTACTCCCAAAAATGTTCCTATTGGGACATCTGGAGGAATTGTACATAAGGTCTAAAAAACTGAAATAAAAACTCATTGTGTTTGTTCACAATATTCTGGATGGCAAGTGTAGCACTTTGCTCAAAATTCTAAATCATTCCACTTTTGTTGTGCATTTACAGGGAGATTTACTTCGTGTATAGGAGTGCAATTCAGCAAGAGAAGAGCATATAAAATTCTGCAGAGACAGTGCACCCTGTGAGAATTTGCCCAATAAATTTGTGCCTGGCAGGCAGATTGATTATCTGGTTTCTAGTTGTTCCCAGTGTCTTCCACTATATTTATAGATAGCTATAAGTTGTCTATTGTTTTCTTGTGGAAATGTACATGGCCAGTGGTTGCTCTTTTGGTTGACCTTTATGTAAAAATGTAAAATCAGTAATGAAGTGTTGGGAGCCGGCGACCGCACCCTGAAAATGGCGCTGGCTTCCTGCTTCTGATGACTCAGCGGTTAGAGTTGTTAGAAGTAAACAACTCCTTGTAAGGCTGTGGGGCTGGGCTCTGGCCTGCTTCCGCTGCACTGTACCTATTAGACTCTTCCACGTAGTGCTGGTTCATTGGCAAGGCTGGGTACTTAAGCTAGGGCAGACGGA